TGTGGTTATGGGGAGTCAGATTCAACCTAACATCCTTTACTCTGTTTTGACTAGAACTTATGTACATCATTTTTGTTTTTTCATTATTAATTAAAAGGCCAGCATCATGAGACCAGTCAGACAATAGAGCAAAATCAGTTTGCAGGTGAAGCAAAGCAATGTTAAGGTCTCTGTTAGCAGATACGAGACATGTGTCATCTGCAAATTGATATATTTCACAATTTTTGACCAGATTGACTGCATCATTTACATAAGTAATATAGTGTAAAGGACCAAGCACTGAGCCCTGTGCCGTGCCATCCAATACATCAACCTTTCTGCTGAAATCATCAGATACTTTGACAACATATGATCTGTCCCTGAGATACTCTTGACACCATTCACTAAGTGGACCCCTTATACCACAATCATTAAGCTTTTCGATAAGTATATCATGCCTCAGGGTATCGAATGCTTTACTATAGTCAACAAATAGTACCAGGACATGTTCCTTATCATCAAGATGTTTGTTAACACTGTCTGTGAATTTAGATAGCAATTGTGTTGAGCTTTTGCCGCTCTGAAACCCATATTGTTTGTCAGTGATAACATTGTTATTTTTATAAAAGGTATGTATCTGTTTCGAAACAACCTTTTCAATTATTTTGTCAACAGTGGAAAGAATGGTTATTGGTCTATAATTGTCGCATTCATCGTGTCGTCCTTTTTTATATATCGGTCTAACTATACCGGTCTTAAGTCCATTTGGGTATTTACTTTGCCTAATAGACGTATTGATTAAATGAGCTATTACTTCTGCCATTTTTAAACCAATTATTTTTAAATCTTGTGCTCTAATTCCATCAATGCCTGGTGCCTTTCTATTATTTAATGATATTATCTCTTTAAGAACAGACCTAGCAGATGTTTGTCGAAACCTGCAACTCGTATCAACACTAGAAGCATAGGTACACTTATCCATAAGTCTAATGTTGCACTTCGGAATAATATTTCTAACATTAGACTCAAAACAATCGGCAAATTTGTTCGCTATGTCTTTAGTGGAGCTGTTATTTCTCAGGAACGCGTTCAATATAACAGTATCAGCTATAGTTTTTGCCCTGCCTGTAATTTCATTTAGTATCTGCCATAACGCTCTAGGATTGTTTTTATTATTCCATATTTCTTCTCTAATTTTTTTTTATTTTTAGCTTTGTTAATCAATTATATACTTATACAATTATATACTTTACCATGTATATTATTATTGTCAATGTATAACTTTACTCATAGTCGTTATATTTTTGCTTTCTAATAACTTAATCCCTCTCGTTGGTTCTGATTGAAAACCAGCGCCTTAGGAAACTTTGGCATATGCTGTGTCAGCGCCGTTTCACTGGTATGACAATCATGTTTTGTTTTTTCTTTTATGCTTAATCTGTATTTGTGTTATATCAGTGAATAAAGTGTTTATCTATCTATCTATCTATCTATCTATCTATCTATCTATCTATCCCGATGATTAAATGAAGACCTGGCTCAAAGGACTTGCGTCCAAGACAAAAAAAAAACAGAATAACAGATTAAACAAGGAATTTCAAACAAAGGATTTTTTAAATAAATGTTTTGTTCTAACTTGCAACTTAATGATGGGGGCTTAATAAACTCATATTCGATCAAGTCATTTAGCGACAAATGAACAAAAACACAAATACGAGTCGTGACGCCCAAGAAATCGGTTGCCGGTTCTCCGTCTCTCCAGAATCTGGATAAAATGGCCGTCAGTGCATTCAGCTTACTTGCTCTTAGTATAATGAAGACATAATGTGACCATGCATCAAAAGTGCTTTAATCAATACAATACAAGTATTCTTTATTGCACAATGGAACAAATACATAGTCTTAGAATAATAACACATAGAATGATAGTTTCATATCAAACGAACTGTCACAAGTGAGGCAAAAATCAAATTCGTGTGGGCTAGTTTTAGTAGTAGGTTAATTTTCGGTTTTAGTAAATATTTATATAAAAATACAAGTTGAAACGCATTACTTCCTTGTGGAATGTGATGTTAGTATCTATTTTATGTTTGACTGACGTATTTTTACACTCATTTACCGCACATTTCGTCATTTTTAGCTAAAATTCTGGAGCTGTTCGCGGTGCAAATTGACCTTGAGCACTGAAGGCCCGCCCGCTCGTGTAGGCCCTTTGGGAGCGCTTCAATTTGCCTCACTTAGCGTGTGCGGGCTAAGTTTCTATGCGTTATTATTCTAAGTACATAGTAATAAAAAAATGTAAAACAGTTTAAAGAAAGAGTAAGAGGAGACCGTAAGGCGCACGACTGAGAGTGAAAGTTTTGTAATGTTAAAGTCATTAAAATAATACGAACTGTGAACGAATGAAAAAAATTATGTATAATAATGTAAGCTTAAAAAAATTATTGACCAAATTTCGTTTGTAGAATCTTTAAGCCCCTTTTCTGAAACCATATCAAGTTAAAGATGTGGCCCTTTTACGCCAATAAATAAATAAAGAAAATAACGCACACACTCATGGCGCACTAGATAAACCCTGTATCGCGGATGCTATGGACAACCACAAAATAAACTCAAACTCACGAGATAAATAAATGCATACAACATGAAAAATGTTACTACGAGATGCTCATCTACGACAAATAATTCCGCATAAAACTACACACTTAAAGTTGCTTAACTGCCTCCATGGCCGAATGGTTTGCCATGCTGATTTGCCACGCAGAGGTCCTGGGTTCGATTCCCGGGCAGGAAGAAATATTTGTATGACCTACATTTGTTTGCGGCAGACCAACACTGCAGCACTGGATGGACGACATTCGATGACATGGGTCATTATTATGCGTTATTATTATTTTAAACAAATATTTCTCCCGGCCCGGGATTCGAGCCCGGGACACCTGCATGACAGACCAGCATGGTAACCCTTCGGCCCCGGAGACAGTTAAACACTTCACGATGGCATACAGTATATTGTTGTGGCCCAGAAGTTATTGCCGTTATTCTGTCACTAATAGCAGCTACCATGTTGAAGTCTGGAACATGCTTTAGAAAGGGCTTACCAATCAGCACAAGGTACCCACCAATTGTTGCCCATGGACATAGTACGTCATTGCGATAGGGCTCCTTTTGGTGAACCACATCTTCTTATTTGCTTATTAGATTCCACCATAGAAAAGTTCACTGCAATGAGTTAGGTAATTTTTAATTTAAAAATAATGAATTTAATACACATCGCACTGCTATTACAATTTGTTGTAACTCAAAATACGTGAAATTCAAGAATATTCCATTTCTGAATGTAAATTTTTGTTCTCTACACGTCAATGAAACTGTTGCTAGAATATTATGAGAAACAATTAAAGAATGAAGCAGATAATCTTTTTCGGTAATACACTTTAAGCTATACATAATTTTTATTAATTTTTCACGGCAAGTGAATAATTAGTTTTTCATCGATTCTAAAAAAAATACACTTTTTGAGTATATACACTATTGTATTAACAGTGCGACAAATAAGTTTAAAAATAATCCTAATAATCTTTTTTGTTAAAAATAAACCCACCTCAACTTTGTGTAATTTCATGTATTTGCCTTTGCAAGTTTTATTAAAATCGGCTAACAGAAAGTGGGTGATAGTCAATAAACAAAATTCAACCCCTAATACACCCCCATTGGAAGTGGAAAATTTTCTTCAAATTTGAATGGGATTATATTCGGTACACCCTTTCCAACAAAAATAAAGATCACCGCAATCAGTACATAAATGTCGGAATAATAATAAAAATACATCTACTTACATAAAATACATAATAATAATTATAATAACGCACACACTCACCATAGCCCCGCACTAGGGAAACCCTGGGTCGCTGGTGACATGGACACACACATAGACAACTACAAATTACACCCAAACTCACGAGAGAAATAAATGTAGGCTATACAAATATTTCTCCCGGCCCGGGAACGAACCTTTTTTATGACGTGGGGAAATCTCTATAGATACCCCTGAGTCTCCCTGGGCCATATTATTAGTTATATGGGGACGCTCAACCGGGTTTACCTCTCGCCGGTTGAGTCGGCAACGTGGGATAGATGAACATTCACCATGACACCCGGCAACGAACCTGTGATCTCTGCGTGGCAGTCTGGCATTGTAACCGTTCGGCCAAGAAGGCAGTCATGCATGTTCTTAAAGTGCTAGAATACAAAAATATTGTTATCATCCAAGAAAAAATTTCCCCATGTTGGCGAGATTCTTGCCTAAGTAGTTTTAGGAAACGGAAATAATTAAAGAATCCTTTGGAATTTTTAGGAACTTATTTTTAAAACAACAACTGAATATCAAAAACAAAACGTCAAAAAGAATCCAAATTTAAAAGAAATAAAAACTATAAAATGTATCAAAATTATATGCTCGAGCACACCCCGGTCTTACAAATTGATATTTTCCACATAGGACTTACATTTAGTACCTAGTAGTTAAGAAATACGTTTAGTACCTATACCAGTATCATAAATCAAATATTGTTTACTCTTAGGGTATTTAATACAGAAAATACAAGGTGCCTCAAATTATCTTTCCGAGAATGCATAAACCATTACATAAATAAAAAAATAAGATTTAATATTAGGCCTAAAAATGAGGTCTGCCTCGACAACTTAAAATAACCTTATCTTAAAATCACATTTACTTTACCATTGTAGTACAAATTTGTACTACCTACTTCAGCACAAAGGAATACATTTATAAATCCTATATTCTACTGTTATAATTTACTGTACGAAATCGTAATGATACACCAAAATTAATGACCGTAAAAAAACACATAAGCACCCCTTACACTAACAAGTATCCTTGATAGTTGAAAAATTTAATAATTGGGGTTGCGTGCACGCAGGTTGGTATATAAGCGCGCGGCGCGAGATTCGGTCATCAGTCACTTAGTGTTCTGTGAGGTGAACAGCTACAAGTCAACATGAAGTTCTTGGTAAGGATCGTGTTTGTTTTTTAAATAAATCTTACTCGTTATGGTGTCTTAAAAATTATGGTTTTGTAAAATAATGAAACCCACGCTCAGTAGTGTGAATTTTTTTTTTTTTTATAATATTAAGTGACGGTACGAACAAGTTGTGTACCTGGTTGTAGTTACATGCCTGTCCATAACAACTGCAGTGCCACTCAGAGCTTAAAATCGCAAAGACGGGCACTGCCACTGCGCCTGTCACCCTGATACATACTGCAACTGTTATGGGCAGGCGTGGGGCTTACTACCAGGCGCACGACCTGTTCGTCCCCTCACTTGGTGTTATAAAAAAAAAGATCTATAAAAAAATCCACACTATATTATCAACTATTTTTGGTCAAGAATCCACGTTTGACCAAAACTGCTTCTTACAATTACTTTTTCGTCTTCCAATATATGAAAGCGTTTTCACGCTTCATGGGACGAGATGTAGCGGTTTGCTGAATAATTATGAACTTAAAATCTATATAATATTGTATTTGCATTGTTATCCCAGTGTATTTCAGAATTTATTATAATAACAATGTGTTAGATAACCGCATGAGCTACGGGATTTCAACCTAAAGCATCCAGACGTAAATCAATTTAGAAAAGCCTATTTACGGCCTTTGCTGTCGAAACCTTTGGCCCATGGGGTCCCAGTGCCCTTCATCTGAACTAAATATTATCCAAAAAATTGTCTGGGAAACCCAAATGTCGGCAGCTACCTTGCCCAATGCATTAGCATAGCAATACAAAGGGTTAACGCTGCCAGCATCTTGGGCACCTTGCCGCGGGGACCCAATTTTATTCATATAAAAATAAAAATCCTAGTTTTACTTTCTAGAATTCGACCTTTTACTGTCTTTTTTACCTTATCTGTATATTATCAAAATAAAAATTATTCCGATTTATTCTAAAATTTGTCGTATCGGGAATCGCACCCAGGACCTCCTTATCCAGCGTCCTTAGGGCAAATAATTGAGCCACCGAGATAATCGAATGTGAACTATATAATTTCAAAAATATCTTATATTCGAGACTGCCATACATTGGAAAAAAAATACTTTGTTTTTCGGATCCAAATCGTGTACATTGGTTTTTTCTGACAAACCAGACAACAGTGACCATGGGACTTGTAAGAGCCCATAACGTTGGTTAAGTATCATGATAATTACTTACCATATTCGTACCAAAACCTTTAATTGTATGGATTAATAAAAAAACACATAACCTTCATCACCTTCCTACAAATTCAGTTAAACGACGGTTCAATGCCCATTTACCCAACTTCCAGCTCTTTGTTCCTTTCTTTTTCATTCATTTCCTTATTACATAATGACATTATTTTCCTATAATTCAATATTATTGTTAAGTATTATACATTAATTAAAAGATGTTCTTTAGTTGCATACTCCCTTAGTTCTATACTTGTCATGAATAAATCTACAGGTAAGAAGTAAAGAACTATAAGTGCCAAATAGCATTTTAAAAAGAGTAAGTCGAATAAATTAATATACACACATCAAAAAAAGTTTGCGATCACTTCGAAAAACTGAAATCTTTTTTGTTACTGTAGATTATATTATAATTTTTTCTTCTTTTTAGATTCTTTGTTTAAAAATAAATTAGAACATAAAACAATGACCCCGTTCAATTGTTTTTTCATATAAAAAGGCTTTCAGTCCTAGCTTACGCTCATTCAGAAATCTGATTTAGTCAATTATAAGCGATTCAAGATATTTTTCGCGGAAAGTTGTGATTGAAAAAATGCCAAGAGGATTATCAGAGGTTTTACGAGCTAGAATAGTAACTTTGAGGGAAGAAGGATACACCACGAGAGTAATAGCACGCAGACTTGCTATATCCCAATCCTGTGTCGTGGCTACGTTGCAGAGGTATCACGGAATGGGGAATTTAGCTGACCGACCCCGCAGCGGTCGCCCAACTGTTTTGACAGCTGCCCAAAAGCGCTATATTAGATTGCTGGCAGCCCGTGATCCAACAATCAACGCTACTAAAATAAAAGCAGAAGTCAGGGCCGCCTCTGGGCTTGAAGTTAGCACGCAGACCGTTCGCAATTGCTTGCACCAGGCTGGATTACGAGCACGGAGGTCTTGGCGAGCTCCGCTCAATTCCCGGCAACGTCAACAGCGAAGATTGCAGTGGGCTAGACTTCGGCAAAATGAAGAAGGTGAGGACGAAAACATTTGGCAAAACTGTCTCTTCGTTGACGAATCCCGAATCAGCACTCATCCAGATAACCGACGTGTCCGTGTCTGGAGAAGACCAGGCGACCGTGAAAGACAAAGAACTGCCACTGGAACAGTTCAGCAAGGCGGAAAATCGGTGTCCTTTTGGGGTGGCATTATGATTGGAGCTAGAACGCCTTTGATCCCGTATCGGGGCTTCATGACAGCAGACATGTACAAAGCAGTTGCTATTGATGATATCGTCAGTTCATTCCGAGTAAACCATGGGCATCAATTTGTACTGGTCGAGGATAATGCGCCCGCACATCGAGCTCAACGAGTCAATGCTGCTCTTCAAGAATACGATATCACACGATTAGACTGGCCTGCCGGCTCGCCCGACTTAAACCCAATAGAGCACGCGTGGGATGCTCTTAAACGAGCAGTATGGAACCGAGAGCCACGTCCCCAGACAGTTCCTGAGCTCAGGGAAGCCGCTATTGAAGAATGGGATAGGTTACCCCAGGAAATGCTGGATAACTTGATCCTCAGCATGCCCAGGAGGATCTTCGCATGTATTCGAGCCAGGGGAGGAGTTATTTTATATTGAATTCACACCTTTTAATAATAAATTGTTGTTTAAGTTTAATTAAACAGTCTTTTTCTTTCTATGAAATTTCTATCACTATTACATTATGATTAATGGCTCAATTTTTTAAAATAAATAATAAAAAATAGTTTTATATTTTAATTTCAAACAGTGTATTCCTATTTAAAGAAAGCATACAACATAGATATTTTCTTGATAAAGTTAAATTTAAAGAATTATAGGAGCTTATGCTATTGATCGCAAACTTTTTTTGATGTGTGTATGTCAAATATAATCTCAGTACAGAGTGCTAAAAAAAACCTCAAAAGTTTTTGAAATTACATCTATTTGCTAAGCTTTAGTGAAATCGGTTACCGGAAAGTGCGCGAAACCAGATCCATTCCCTAGTTTTCCACCCTCTATCCAATAAAAAAGAATCATCAAAATCCATTCACAAATCGGAATTATCGCGTAACAAACATACAAAAAAAATGCAGTCGAATTGAGAACCTCCTCCTTTTCTTTCAAGTCGGTTAAAAAACGACAATAGGACTTAATGACTTTTATCATTGCGTGATTTTTAACAGTCTAAAGCAACATTTGTAAAAACGCCTAAACCCAAAATATTAACTTAATATCCTTTATCTCTCGCCCTACAGAAATTACTACTTAACAATAATGCCGCCTAATGTACATCGGCTTATTGCATTTTGTGTCATCATTACCAATAGAGTGCAATAGAAACATTATGTTATTCAATTTATTCAAAGAATTACACGAAGAATTACATACATTAATATGCAAGAGATGTAAGAAAATACGGAATGGGCATATCCCGCGATGAGCAATCTCAGAATGCATATTTTATTTGTGTCTTCATGTGTTGTGCTGTTGTTTAATATTTAGCGTAATAGCATTTGAGTGTAGTTGCGCCAAAGAACCATTTCAAGCCAAACACAAAATCAATGTCAAATAATCGTTTATTCCATAAAAAATAAATTTATACTTGAAAACGTAATTTTTTAAGCTATTGCTCACTGTGCTGACTTCCCTGGGAACAACTAGCAAGAAACTCTAGGGATTTCTCTTTTCAAATAATGTTAAACTGTATGGAATCAAATTTGTATGGAATCTAAAGTCATGTCGTCTTTCCACATATCTTTATCTAACACGTTCAGTTTTGTAATAGACTTTTCAATTAATATAATTCTAATGTAAGTTTTAAGCATACATTCTTCTTCTAAAAACGTATCCCATCGTGTAACTTATTTAACAATGTTAAATCAATAATTTGCATTACCTTATTGTCATTGTATTGCAAATTAAATAATGTTTTTTTTTTGTAATTTTGACAATGAACACAAAATGACGTTCCTCAGTACCATCGATACATTTTGTCAATTATCCGAAGTTACTTATTAGCTGACATCCTATAGGTCAACTATAGTCGTTACACTGATCATGTGTCAACACTATGTGGCCATGGAACAGTGGCTGTGGTAATGGCGACACTTCCTATCGAAGACAAAGGGAGACATTGTGCCGCTATGACGTCATTGTTTCACATGGCTTGCTAATTTAGGAGATCCGCGAACAATCTATCATTTTAATTTTATTATGCACACATTCTGTAGGCGAGACGTAAAGGACCTCATGTCCATATTTTGGAACTTTTGCAAGAATTGCTGTAGAATGCTAAAAATCAGGCATAGGTAAAAAACATTGGCCAATCAACTAGTAAAACACATTAAGAGTCGTATTCCAGAACTCTACTCAATGCTCAAGTCAGGATTGCACTGGCAACACAAGCACTGGAAATACGACCCTGATGGCAGGGACTTGAGTATGATTTCTAGTGCTTTGAATCATACTCAAGTCCTGACTTAAGCTTTGAGTAGAGTTCTAGAATACGATCCTAAGAGCGGTTACACACGCAACTTTTAGCATCGATGCAAACGCGATGCATGCGCGCGGCTGCATCGATATAAACGCGCGATTGCATCGGTACACTTAGGATTTATAGGTGATTGTAATCACTCTAAGTCCTGTCGTCATTTGTTTTTTTATTTAACATAAACTATTTAACATTGAACCTAACAAAACAAGAGCAAAATGAACCCTGGTCCATTATGTAGCTGTATTTCGTAAATTTTATCCTCTTTGTTGTACCAAACTACGTATTTAAAGAAAGTTTTCCGATTCTTTTTTTAATTAATTTCGCTACATTTTTTTTGCAGACATTATGCAACTCGACACATTAAAGAATAATTCAAAGTAAAGTCTCGATGTATAAAGCTTTTGCTAGATATGCCGATAGATGGCGTCGTTTGTTTTCTGAAACGTGCTATCGTTTTATTCACACATGGATAAGGCTTAGCGCATCTGCAAATGTTTCAACGTAGGAATTGAAAAACCCACTGATATTGCAATCTAATTCCAAATATAATTTTTGTATATCTGCTCTAGTAATACTAGTAACAGATGTAAATTAAATCATTCAAAAAAACAGTTATTTTTTAAATTAAGGTTTTTCAAAAAGATGGATGTAATGTTTGGTTTAATTAAATGATATTGCAGATATTGAGATTTAAATTGATGGATAGTTTGACGTTTCTGAATCCTTGTGGGCCTTCACACATGCACCTATGAGCTAAATTTCAAAGTTACGTAAACCTGTGAATATTAATTTATTAATTTATTTGGTTTACTAGCAATATCTTTATTCAATACTAATTACAAACTGAAACTTCTGTGTATTTCTTGCTGATATACAAACAAACAGACTAATCGAAACATTCGAAAGTATACATTATAACTAAATCACAAAAAACCTGTCCGTACTTATTTTAATGGTTTAATGTAATAATTGTAACTTTTTTATAAAAAAAAAACCAACCTCAAAAGTTCGTGAAATTACATCTATTTGCCAAGTTTTATCGAAATCGGTTACCGGAAAGTGTGCGAAACTGGATTCATTCCCCAGTTTGCCACCCTTAGAGCAGGAATATGTCCTTCAAATTTAAATGGACCAATATTGAGGTACCCTCTTTCCAACGAAAGAAGAATCATCAAAATCGGTTCACAAGCCGGAGTTATCGCGTAACATACATAGGTACAAAAAACAGTCAAATTGAGAACTTCTTTTTTTAAGTCGGTAAAAATCAGTCCAAAATATAGGTACAATTTTTGAATTTTTTGCTGTTCGTTTGTTGTCGTCTCTACAATTTAAATGTGATTATAAAGTCACGGCTGACTGAGATGGTAAAGTCAACCAGTTACGTACTATAATTACAAAAGTTATTGATTAAATACCTTGTTTATAATTTTTCAAAGATCATTCCAATTATCACTAATTACCAGAGATCGTTAAAGCAGAATATATTCACCTAAGTTTCAAGTTATAAACATGGAGTGAATAATACCTCCTTCTAAATTATTTCTTTTCCCCGGAATTTTGTAATAGCTTAGTCAAAAGCTAACAAAGTTTTAAATTCTATTTTTATTTGTTTTTAATTGAATATGTCTCGACTGACAGGAGGTCCGTAAAAAGAGTTTCATATAATGTAAAACAAATAAGTATTTTGTAAACAAATACAAATTTTCTTATAAAATATCATAACAAATAATATGAAATATTATTAACTAAAAAAAATATTGTCATAGGTCGTAGCCGCCCTTGCCATTGCCGCAGTATGTGCCGAGGAAGCTAAGAAGACGGAAAAACGTGGCCTGGCCGGTCTTGGCTACGGCGGCCTGGGCTACGGCGGACAAGGCCTGGGCTATGGAGGCTTAGGATACGGAGGTGGACTGGGCTACGGTGGATATGGCGGATATGGTGGTTATGGTAAGTGGAAAAAATGTTTCAAAACAGACGTTGTTTGCAAAATTAGTAGAGAGATAAGTTTAAGGAAATTAACATTCTTACACTAGCCTCACAGTACATTTATGAAAATGTAATTTATGTTAGAAGGAATAGTAATTTCTTTATGAAAAATAGTGACAGACATAACATTAACACGAGGAATAAAAATAAACTAGCTTTTCTTGATAGTCGTCTTCACAAAGTCAAAAAATCATTTAAGGGGCAATGTATACGCTTCTATAACAAGATTCCGGTTGATATACAAAATTTGCCTTTCACGAGGCTTAAAGCTATAGTGAAACAAAAACTTTATACTAAAGGTTATTATACAACTTCTGCGTACTTGGATAATAAAAATCCGTGGTAGTACCCGTTTAGCTCATGGAGGTAGTCTCGATCTCTGATGTTTCAAATAAAAAAAAAAAATATTGTAAATGTTATTTACAAAGAGCAACCCCTAGAGTTTCTTGCTCATTCTTCTCAGGGGAATCTGCCTTACGAATGAGCGGTAGAGTTTAACCATTGTGACGATTTCAAGTGTAATAATGCGTACCTATGAAATAAAGATTATTTTGAATTTGAATTTGAATTAGAGTACCTTACGGTCTTCTCTTACTATTCCTTTCCTTCTATTAACTTCTATTCCACCTCCTTCAAAGCTAGAAGCATCAAGCTGTGGAATTCTCTGCAGACGCCCTAAGTCTGTTGTGTCTTTCAAAACTCTACTCAAAGCTAATTAACTTACACTCTAATTATTATTATAAATTCTCATATTCTTACCTGTTTTAGATCTTCTGTGTTGTTATTATTATGTTCTATATAATCCTACTTCATTTTGTGTAATCATATGTATTTTTTTGTTATTTATTTATTTTATTTATTTAAGTATTTAATTTATTTATTACTATTATTTTGGATATCTGTTTTAGACTTTTTATATTATTTTTTTCTTTTTTTCCATTTGTGTATGTGCAATATGTGTTTTAAATACGTATTCTGTTGCGCCTTCAATTAATTATTATCTCACAGTTTTTCCTGCAACACGAAGGTTGCCTGGAAGAGATTGTTATATAGCAATAAGACCACCTGTTGTACCTGTCTTTTTATTTTTTGTATTTGTCCCAGTGTGCAATTATGAATATTTGTGTTGTATTGTAGAGCTTCTGCTTGATATCTTATTTTTTTAAATATGAAAACGTGGTTTAAAACTTACGATTACACGTCTAATGTAACAAACGGATATTTCTTAAAATCTTCATCATCAACCCATTTATACATACCACTACCGGGCACGGGTCTCTTCTTAGGGGAAGGTTTAGGCTATAGTCCGTCACGCTGGCCCAATGAGGGTTAAAAACGTGCGACGTGCTGGTTTCCTCACTATGATTTTCTTCACCGAAAAGCTCACAGACCACAAAAAAGCTCATGGTAAATTTCAAATACAATTCCGAAAAACTCAGAGGTACGAAACTGGATTCGATCCCACGGCCTCTGCTTGAAAGACAGTAGGTCAAACTCTTGAAAGACGGTAGCTTAAAATCTTAGTTTCCTATTTTACTTATTCAAGTTTCAAATTAAACTGAAAACACACACTTCAGCACTAAATCATTCCTAACAAGGAATTTCACTTTTAAAACTCCGTAAAACTAAGTAAAACTTTAAATTGAGCTCTTTGATACTTCTGGAATTCAAAGAGGTTTCGATTCTTAGTTCATGGAAGTTAGAAGGTTTCAACTTCACCCTGGCGTATTTTAGTTCATTATTCGATTTTCGTATTAAAAAATTTTTTACTAATATTGTTAATTAGTATATTAATACATTTAACAGAGTTCCATGGTCAACAGTGTCGTTTTAAAGAGGGTATTCGGCTTAAAGATCTACACAGATATGTCAACTATGTATTATATTAGCAATAAAACAATTGTAACATTGATTTACAATTATATGGACGTCGGATCTGCGCTAAAAAGT